GCATTGATCTGAAGTTTCTTGAGATCATGTTATATCCAGATTTCAATCTCATTGCTTACTTTCTCTAGTCCTTTGTGTATATTAATACAGGTAAACATATCATATGCCTTTGTAAAATCCTCTATACAGCTCCTCCATAAGGCATAGTTGTTTCCATTCAACTTGGGTGGACGAGTAGCTGAGTACCCATCCATATAATTTGTAGGCGGTAGATGCTCGCCATTCTGATTGAGGAAGTTGAAGTGTCCAGCGGTAAATTGAGCATTTCATATATATCTACTCTGATGCCAATTGAATAACTACAAGAACAACAGAGGTGAGAGATAAATCGAAAGCACAAGCCTAGAAGGAACTATAACACTGAGTAGTGAATATGAAGCAGTTTGGTTGATTCGAGCCTAAATGTACACTTTTATCCCCGTCTCTCTTTGATGTTTGTGGCAATTGAGCTCCAAAATGGGTGTTTTTACGCTAGGTTTCTTGTGTTTCAATGTGTTTCAGAGTCTAACAGGTGAAACCAACCTCGGACTCGAAAGTTGGAAGAAAAGGAGCAAAGACCGGAAAAAGAGGAGTTTTCAGCCGCAATTCACGGCCAAAGCTTGGAGTTCACGGTCGCCAGGACCGTAAAGTGGAACCACAAATCGTGAACCGCGAAGCGTCCAGAGGGTTTTTAGAGGTTACTGACGCCGAGGCAGTTCACGGTCACTAAAGACCGTGAACTGGGGCCATGGACCGTGAACCCCATAAGTGAAGCGGCGCGTTTCGCTCGAAGTTCACGGTCGTTGCCTTATGCGTGAACTGGGACCGTGAACTGGGCGCGATTTGAGTATAAATATAGAGCTGAAAGAAAGAAGAAGGGAGAGCCCAAAGTGAGAGATAGCTTCTTCTTCTTCTTCTTGAAACCCTAGAGAGAGAAAGTCACGAACCAAGAGGGAGAAGAGGCTAGGGTTTACTCAAGTCAAGAATTGGGAAGTTCCTTTTCAAGGGAGGATCTCTACAAGCACAAAGGAGGATTTATGCATCATCCATGATTGTTTTTCCCCTTTCCTTTGTGTTCTTCCTTTTTCTAACATGGAGCAGTCTCCTATTCACTTGGGTGTTGTAGAACCCTAACTTATACCATGTAGCTACTTGTATGGATTTAATGATTGTGTGTGGGTGATGTTTAATTTGAGATTTGAGGTATTTTTCATGGTGATTATGTATTGTGTGTGCCTTGCAATCTATTGTGCTATTCTAACCTAGCTTAGAGGGAAATCCCCTTTTCTAAAGAGACTCTAATTGAGTTGGGTTTCCTAGGTATTTCATACCTCCTAACTAGGTTAATGTAGGGCAAATCTCTAAACTCAAATCGAGCATCTAGGTTGATTGTGCTTTGGCCGCACCAAACCCCGGTTTGAGGGAGAAGTTAAGGTAACCCTCAATTGCTTGGGCCAAGAGGGCTACATTTGTAGCCTATAATGCTTTCCTTGGTCTAGCAATTGAGAGGTGGTTTCCAACCATTGTTGTCTCTCCGAGCGGCTCACAATCGCCTTATCCCACACCGATTCATTCGATCTCACGGTTCATGGTAGTTGGTTAGGGGGAAGCAACACCCAAGTGAAGCTTCTCGTCAAGAGTTTTCCACCACTTTACTTTTCAAGTCTTGCTTTTCAGCAGTAGATTGTAGAGATTTTTGCAAATCAACAATCCGTTAGATAATGTTTCAAACAATCAAAGTAGGGGTACATGGCCGGCCCGGATCGATATTTAAACATACTTGCTCTATATTGCACCCATTTAAGGTTTGTACTTGGACCTTAAGTGAGATTTTATTGTGATAGTCGGGGTGAGTCATTGGTCAATCTGATTTTTTTCTTAAGTGAGTTTCGAGAACATCAACCCACTGGGGTGATCTGTCTAGTTAAGGCATGTTTGCCTTCAAAATCATTCCCACTTCTTCGGTCGCCCCTGTAATATCACCAAACAGATAAATAGAGGAAAAGTAGAGCAAGCACGATATTGGCAAATAGCAGAGAGCCAGAGAGAGTTGACACGATATTTTTTGTTAACTGAGTTATGTCTATTGCTTACATCTCGACTCAAAAGTGGCTACCTTTTAGATATAGCTTTCCTAGCTAGGGTTCATCTTATTTCTCAGTCTAACCACAAGTGAATTTTTTTGGGTGGAATTCAAACCCTAGTACAGCCCACGGAGCAGAAATCAAATGAATTTTCTTATACACAATCATATATATATCTAAAGAAAGTGTCTCCGCACTACTATCACTCGAGCAATCCCGGAGAGAAGTAACCACTACTTCGCACAATCGCTAATCACAGAGTTTGTGACCCTCTTCTTCTTCTTCTAAACTTTCACAAACCTGCAATGGCTAATGTGTTGAATCACCTGATTTGTTGGACCTTCCTTCTATTCTTAATCATTGTTTCTGCAAGATAAATTTCAAGAGTGCACACACAATATTTGATTGCTCCAAACTCACCTTTTCTCGTTTGTCCTAGAAAGGAAAGATGGGCTGAATAGGTGGCGGGGCAAAGGATTTGCGAAGATGTAGATGAGTTCGGACTCGGCCTTGATTATCTTGATGGTGGTCAAGGAAGAGGTTGTTGTGGAAGACTTAACGGAGGGGATGATTTTTGCATGTCTGAATTTGCTTGGGGTGGAGTAAAACGGAGGAGATGATATCGGAACACAATAGTTTCTTTCATTTTTTTTTTCTTTTTCGTGTATATATTTTTTGGAGAAAAAATTATTGTATTCATTTTTTAGCGGTGGATGGATGAAATTGTTGACAAATGCACAATTTTCCGATTTTAGCGTCACACGATGCCATTTTTTCACTTTAGCGATATAAACTCCCCAATTCTCATATATTTTTTTTGTATTCAAAGCATTTCATTTTAGAATTGAGTGTAGACGACGCGTAACAAAAGAAAAATACATATACAACTGACTACAAAAGAAAAATTGTTTGCAATGAAATTGGTACAAGGGATAAAAAAGACCACGTGATCAGTACCTGCTAGGAAAAAAAAAGAGAGAGAGATTTTTTATTTGATACTACTCGTAATTTTTTATAAGAAACAACTATATTAACTTATGATTATACATATTTAAATATAATAATTATTGTTTATAGTTCATGAAATTCTGTAGTAGTTTGTCGATGTGAAATTTACTTCTGTATGGTTCTAAGTTCTAACGCGCACAGACAACATCCAAAACTATTAGAGTTACTACAAAGGAAATCCAATCCAATCCAATTCAATCGAGTCTAGTGCGTGTGTATAAATTATAACTCCCCCAGCCTTTTTATTCCGTTATAGTTTTCTTCATTTGTCTTCCTAAGCATTTCCCCTTCTCTCTCTCCACCCCAGAAGCTCGAAAGAAGAGGAAATCGCAAAATAAAAGAGAAAGAAAATGCACAGATCGGCAAGCTGGACGCGGGGCCCGCCGGATGACTACTTCATGCACTCGACGCCGATGGCGGCCTCGTCGGGCCTCCGAGTCTCTTCTTCGGCTGCCGACGACAACGAGCTCCCCATGTACAATCCCACCGTCGAGATGGCCAAGAAGGAGAAGTCCCGCCGTTTCGCCGAAAACGCGGTTCACGTCATCCCCTTCGTCCTAATCATCTGCGGATTCATCTTGTGGTTCTTCTGCAATCCCAGTAATATATCATCGTATTACATTAGATCTGTAACGTAACATTATTTTGTTATTAATTTAATTAATTAATCCCTTTTTTTTCTCAATCAAAATTAATTTAAATCAATGTGCAGATGGGATGAAAGGAGATTCCATAGCAACGAGGATCGAAGGATTGACGATCGAAGGGGATAGCGACCATGATAGCGACGGGACCCAGACGGGATTCTTACCCATTGAAGCCGACTCGAAGAGAGCTATTCGCGGTCGCAGGAAACTTGACGAGATTCTCATTTGGAGACGGAAGTACTGATCATCATTAATTAATCATTCATCAATATAATTAATTGATTGATTAATTACTTGATCGGAGTGGTCGATCGAGATCAGCACACAGATGTATCGTCGTCATTCACAAGAATACTCGCGTCATCACCTGGAGAATGTATTTGTTTTTTTTTTCTTTTTTCCTTGTTCATTATTTTATGTATTTCTTCAATATTCTCACGTGATATATACAAGTATTCATAAACAGATTAACCCTTTCAGAATGTGTTTTCTTTCAATTAGCGAGCGAGTTGTGTGCATGTTGCTTCCTTGATCAGCTAATCGCTCTGCAATTAATTTCTGTTGAAATGTTATATATATATAGTTTCTACATCCAAAACAGTACTCAGAATACCAACCCAAATTTGGTCATCTCTTATTTAGTTTTCTATATATATTCCAATCTGAAATGTGCTTTCTTAACTATTTTATGGCGAACGTAAATAGCTTAGTTACTCTTTTCTTACATTAGTTGCAACCGATGCGGTTCCAAGAATTTGCAATAAAAAAAAATAAAAAAAAAACGAACAGGAAAATTAAGGAAATGAAACTCATCTGCGGTGGATGAGGGCTAAAAGAAAATGAAAGCGGATACCCTCAATAATCAATTTTGGTAACAATTAGTTTCGACCTAATCATAGTGTGACACATGGGCTGGCAAAAGCCACCGGCAGCAACCCAGTTTGCTGCTAAGTTTCGCCCTTATGAAATTGATAAATATATTATGTTTGAAACACATGGTTCTTTTATAATGATTTTAGAAAAGATAAGTCATTACTTTTTAAATTTCGACAAAATTTTTTAAGGGCAATATATTAAAAAATTTGTGAACTCTTTGTATTTAATTAAGATTCTCTCATAAAATTTTCTTACCAGTATGCTAGGGAAAAACAATTCGTCCCCCCTAATTGAGAATTCTGGCTCCATCACTGTATTACATATGTATCGGAATCACATTGCCCTCAACTCTGAACTCCCATTACAAGCTCAAACAACCGTTTAATATAATTCATATATTTACAAATTGCAAATTTTTTTATTATTAAACAACGCATTGTCTAATAAATGACACATTTCATGCACAGAAACCAGCTCGATCCATGCATTATTATTATTATTTTTGTAACATATATAGCACGTAGATCCCTGGAAAAGGCCATCCTTACAAAGAAGAAAAATAACACACTAGTACTTATCATCATGTTGCAAAGAACACGAAGAAAAAAAATATATCACCATGACTGACCCACAATGCAACGGAAAATACAAATAATAGCTACCACATTCTTAGTTCTGTCACAATACTACGTACTTCTTTCACATTACTACAGTTGCACAAGAATAAGCATCATTACCAATACCTCCACGATCACTTCTCCTCAATCCTCAACGTATCAATAAAGCTCTTGTACCCTTGTGTACCAATGTCATTCTTCGACAAGGAATCCAGAAAGTCTCTGAAGCTGCTCTCTCTGTACCTCTCTTTCCCTTCATCGCCACCAACGAGCTCCTTAGCAACCGCCATCTTTTCATCCATCCCAAGGCTATGCAAGCTAGCGATCGATATCCTCGTCTTCCTCGAGTTAAGGGCAGCCCTGTGCACCACGCTCTTGTACGTTCCGTTGCTGAGGACCTCGACGTGATCCCCAACGTGGACCTGGAGGGCGCCCCGAGTATCTGGTGCGGTCTTCCAGGTCCCATCCCTGGGGTCGAGGATCTCGAGGCCCGGTGTGCTCTGGAGCACCACGGTGATGCAAGAGTAGTCAGAATGAGGCGGGAGGCCCAGGGCAAGCTCCGGGCTAGGGCATGGCGGGTAGCAGTTCACCGCCATCGTTTGCATTCCCCCGTCCAGCCTATGTGCCAGCTGGCACGACGGCGACGTCGGATCGAGCCCGAGGCTTTCGGTTATGGATTCCGCTATCTCTAGGGCTACTCTTTTCACCTCTTTGCTGTACTCGCCAACTCTTTCCCTAGAGAGCCACGTGTACATAATAATAATAATAATAATAATATTACAATTAATAATGTTTACTTTAATTAGGATCTTATTTGCGTACGTCTTGCAAAAAGAGTGATTTCGGTTCATTTATAAAAAAAAAATTAAAGGAAAAAAATCAAATGTAGCAATGACATCACGGCAGAGATCGAGTTTTCTCTAAGGGGAACGCACTGACCGATCATATGACGGCGTGCCAAACTGCCAATCGCATGCATTAATGTAAAAAAGGACAAATTCTGCATATACACAATGTTCTATTCTATAGCAGGGCAAAGAACAAAGTATTTGGAATTTGGAGACTAGTAATTGCAATTTGCATGTGAGTTTGTTAAAAAAAAAAAAAGGAAGGAAATCAATCAATTAATTATAGTTCGCAACCAGAATTTGTTTTCCAATTTTCGAGGCAGTACTGGTCAATATATATAGGGTTCAACTTCTTGGTCTCTGACGTCTTTTTTTTTTTTAATTTATTTAATGATGCATGTGTAGGTTACGTACGTACCTGTAGTGAGGTGGGTTTTGGGGCCAGGAATGAATCCATTGGGCGAGAGGATTGGCATAGTGCTTGAGGAAAACCCTCCAGAACTGGACTTTGTCCTCCCCGTCTTTGATGCTGCTGCCGTACCTCACCGGCTTGAAAACATCGTTGGACATGAACTTGGCCTTCTCCCCCGCCGGCAGCTTGAAGAAGTCCGCCGCCGCCTCCAGCGCCGCCTCCATCACCGCCTCGCTGATCCCATGATTCACAACCTGCATGCATCATCCGGGCAGTGGCGCGCGAGACCAGGAATTCGAACGAGGGGGAGTTAAAAAATTTACGCAAACTGAAGACTGGGACGAACGCCTTATCAACTACTATATTTTTGCCAGTTTATTACAAAATTTACATATAATTTACAAGATTTCGAGAGTTGAAAGGGTCTATAGCCTCTCCAGCTGCCACAAAGTAGCTCCTGCATGTAGTGGCTGAGGGAAGTTTCACAGAGAGAGGTGGCCTAGCTAGCACCCCACTTGGCCAAAAATTGATAAAAAAAAACCCTTCAGATACAATTATTCAACTTTAGGACCCCGTAATCTCGTCGATCTTAACTTACGTTAAGGACCCCAATCAACTCAAAACTCATTAGATACATATTAATAAATTTTGAAGGACGACCCAATAAACATAAAGTCTAGCTACGCCACTGCCAGCATACATCCGTAATATAATGCAAGTATCTTGTGCATACGTGATATGTTGGTTTCAACGTTTGAATTCCACGTCAGGACAGAACATAATAATGAAAATGACCGTATTAGAAAAATGTAGAAGTATATAGTTGATGCTTACTTGGAAGAAACCTAGCTGGCGAGAGGCATTGCCAATTTGCCTGACCACATTGGCCCTCTGGGAAGCATCCTGCAGCCTCAACCCGCCCATGTCAATCACCGGGATATCAGCCGTCCGATCATCGGCAGAGGACGATGGCACGACGTAACAGTCAGGAACATAAGGCAGGGCTTGCTCCTGGGCAGTGTTCCCCATGGAGAAGGAGCTGCTGTCTGATTCTTTCCTAGCCATTTCCCTTTCAGAGATATTGATGGGAGGGCAAAATGTGAAAGTGTTTGATATTAATTGTGAGGCGTGGGTAAGAAGAAGCTGGGTTTTTATATAGGTTTGTTGGAGGGAAGGATATTCATTAATTAATGTGACTTGGATTTGGATGATCATGAATGCAGACAAGTGGAAAGTCCAGAAGCTAAAAACGGTGCGAACTAGAATTTCCAGTTTTGGGGTGGTGGGAAATTGGTGGTGATGATATAATAGGACCTGGACGTGGAGTGGAAACTGGAAATGGTGGGCAGCAAATTTAAAATCTGCAACTGGGAAATCAAACAGGGGGACAAAAACAGACTACCGGGAACTAATTCAGGATCAACATCAGCAGCGAGCATAAGAAAACAAAGAAGCACTTTTTTTTGCTGTGGGCAGATCCTCGGAATCAAGTTGGGGTTGGATCGCATGCATTGATTACAGCCGTTACTGTGTTCCTCTCCGGTCAGGACTCGTGTCCCATTTCGTCCAATGCTATTTCGTCGTTCATTCATGATGGCTGCAACTGCCAAGCCATTTTGGAGGAAAGATGAATCTGTTCATGCTGTGCGTATTTGGGCTTCTTTTTTTTCCTTTTGTCGCCTTTGTGGGTTTCGTCTCTCTTTGTTACCGCGGGCGCAGGGGAGCTGAATTCCACCTTTATTGCATTTATTATTGGCCCAGTTACTATGTTGTGCGCAGTTGACTCAATATCATATGGTATCATGTTACCTCGTTCTTATTATCATTGAGGTTTGTTTATTTATTTATAGAACTCAATGGTTCAGGTTGGACTTTTTCTCCAAATACCCTAAAATATCTAAGTTTGGAGGGTTTCGAGTCCATTACTCAAAAATATCTAAGTTTGGAGTGATTTGAATTTAATGGACTCGAACCACTAATGGAATCGAGTTAGAGGGCCTCGATCGACTTTCTAAGGTAGTGGATCGAGTCCATTGAACTTTGTGTTCGGTTATCCGATCGTAGTGGAAATTTTTTTATTTTATTCCACATATCTTTTTGAGTACTACAACTTTTTTCATAGAAATATTTTCAGAATGTATCTGAAAATATGAAAAGTAAAGCTAACCTTATTCTCAAAACCCCTTATATTCAAAAAGATTTCCTATTTTAAAATTTTCTTTCTAGTAAAAGTTGTAGTATTCAAAAACTTATGCAAAATATAAAATAATTCACTACAATCGGATTATGGAGCACAAAGTTATGATCGTTTAAAGTTTGACAAATTCGAAAAATTTGTCATTTTCTAATCCAAACAACCAATTTTTCAAATTTTTCCAAACTTTAGACGATCATAACTTTGTGCTCCGTAATCTTATATTCGCAAAGTTTGTTTTGATTTTGCATGAATTTTCGAGTCCTACAACTTTTACTACGATGAAATTTTCAAAATAGGAAATCTTTTTGGATATAAAGGGTTTTGAGAATAAGGTTAGCTTTAATTTTCACATTTCCACATACATTCTGAAAATATTTCAATGAAAAAAGTTGTAGTACTCTAAAAGTTATGCGGAATCAAAAAAAATTTCACTACGATCGGATAACCGAGCACAAAGTTAAGATTATTGGAAATTTCAACGCAGTGGTTCGAGTTCAATGGACTCGATCCACTACCTCAAAAAGTCTATCGAGGCTCTCTAACTCGATCCCACTAGTGGTTCGAGTCCATTGAACTCGAACCACTCCAAAATTGGGTATTTTGAGAATTTTTTTTATAAGTGTTGTATTTTATATTTTTTTTTAGGGTAAATACAATTTATTAGCCAAACCTTTTCGTTTTAAACAAAATAATAGCCAAACCTTTTCAAAAACAATTTATTATCCAAACCGTTAACTTTCCATCCAGTTGACTGTTAGTTGACTATGACATGACAAATTTATGCTGACGTGGTTAAAAATCAATAATTAACTATGCCACATAGATATATCTTAAATTAATTAATTTTATTATTTGATAATAATAGTAACAATAAAAACCTACCTCTATCCCTTCCCCTCCCTTTTCTCCGTCCAATTCTTCCATCCTCTCTAATCCTTCACCTCACTGAAGGGGAATATTTTTGCTGAGAGAGGGGTGACCAATGACCACATCAATTGCGACCAGCGAGGGGGGAATTTTTGCCAAGGGTGTATTCGGCGAGGGCGTTTGCAGCGGAAGCGACATGGAATATTGAAGGTAGAAATTCCGTTCGAGGAGGCGGCCGAGATTCCCAAGGAAGGTACATCAACGACGGAGGCGCCGAGGAGATAAGTTTCGCTTTCTCGACCACCGCCATCAATTTCGTTCTACTCTCCTGAGTCGTCTTCGATGTCGGTTCGCCCTTCAGTGGAACTCTGCTATCGGAAATCGCCGTAACAGAATCGAGCGGTGCTAGATCTAGAAAGTTACCTAGCGGGTGGTTGCGGTCTCTATCTGAAAAAGGAACTTCCTCCTAAATCGACCTCCCTCCATGGGGTTTACCTTCTCTAGCGGCGGACGAGTCGCGCACGAAAGAACACGGCGGCGAAGGATTGGAGGCCACCGCTTGGGGGCGATCATGACGGTTCAGCGGCAGGAGGCGTGAGTGCTTTGCAAGGGATTCACCAACGAAAAATTGTTTGCAGGAAGTTGGACGGCCGGAAGCGGTTCTTGGAGAAAGAGAGGGGCTTTAGATTGGTTGGTATATTTGTTTTTATTTTTTTAAATGATGATTATATAAATTAATATATATTTATGTGGCACAGTCATATAGTTGACTCTTTGCCACGTCACTAATCAACATCCAACTCAGCAATAAAATGCCACGTCAGAGTCAACTGACAGTCAAACGGATGGATAGTTAACGGTTTGGCTAATAAATTGTTTTTGAAAAGGTTTGGTTATTATTTTGTTTAAAACGAAAGGTTTGGCTAATAAATTGTATTTACCCTTTTTTTTATTGTTACCGGGGAAAACAACCCTTCTAGTTTGAGCCTTTCCGAAAAAAAGATTATTGGATTCAAAATATTTAAGGGTTATATATTTTTAAGCTACACTTGTTTTCGGAGTAGTCCATGGGCGAAGGAAAAACATATAAAAACTTGGATATAGAAAGTAGAGAGATGATAGTTTATGTATATATTGGTTGAATCATTTATGAGAGAACTTCTATGGACATACTTTTTTGGATAGGTATATGTGTGTGAAGCACCTCTCAAGTCATTACTGATTTGGTCGGGGTGTTAGTTTGATATAAATTAGATACCATTATCTAAATAGCTAAAAACATGTAGTTAGGGTATGTTGAGCACATCTAAATATTTATGATAAAGCTATTTTGAAAATTGAGCAATAATATATCAAAAACATGGAAGGAATATGATTTCTGTAGACTAGTGTCATACTAATGATACCACGTTAAAAAAATCTCTAATGTTCTTTCGATTTAGTTCTTGATTATTTATGATGGTATCAGAGCATGCAATCTGAAATCTCGGTAATCGTATTTATTGGGCCGTACCAGTCCACTTCACGAGGAGCCCACCTCTCGGCCCAAGTCAAGCGCTGCAACCCACACGCCATTCTCCTCTTACTGCATGTCTTACGTAGTAGAGAAGGATAATGATCCTCATGTAACCCTAGGTGCTTTGGAGAAGGGTATATATATGAGTTGTAAGCGGTTGTTGCCATGTGTGGAATACTAAGCAATAACAACAGTAGCTGGAGTGATTCCAACTCTCCCGTGGATTAGTCCCGACTCGTCGGGGATACCACGTTAAATCGTTGTCTCGTTCTATGCTTTCTGTTCCTCGTTTGTTATATTTCTCATAGTATCAGAGCAGTAGTATCCTGCGGATCTCACGCAATCATGGGTGATAAGAAGACCGGCGATGGTAGTGCCCTTGGCACTGACGTTGGCAACGGTGGTCTTCCTCCCATGCTTTATCTTTATAATTCCGATGGGCCTGGCCAGCTTCTAGTCGGCGATATTCTCACGGCAACGAATTACGGTGAATGGGTCCTCGACATGAAGGATTCCCTTATTGCGAAGAACAAATATGCTTTCGTCAATGGGTCGCTCGACAAGCCGGAGGCTGGGGAACTCCGCAACGCTCGGATTCGTTGCGACGCCATGGCAAAAGGGTGGCTTAAGACCGCCATGAACAAGGAAATTCGCAGTAGTATACGGTTCGGTGAGACCTCTCGGGAGATTTGGGAAGACCTGCGGAGCCGTTTTGGCCAAGGGAATGCGTCACGCGCTTATGAACTGCGCCGCATGATTAGCCTTCTCCAGCAAGAGAAGCACTTTGTTTCGAGCTTTTATACGAAGCTCCTGTCCCTTTGGGAGGAGGCGATAGCTATCTCGCCCACTCCTACTTGTACTTGCGGTCGCTGCATCTGCGGCGTCTCTCTCAAGATCCGTGAGCAGCATGAGAGCTCGCGTTTGTTTGACTTCCTCATGGGGCTTGATGACGCCTTCTCAGCTGTCCGTACACAGGTGTTAGCAATGAAGCCAACACCGTCTCTAGCTGAAGCTTTTAACATCACGTTGACCGAAGAGCAGCAGAAGTTGATTACCCAGAAATGTCGCCCCGTGGCCGAGGCCGCTGCTTTTGCAGCTCGCAATGAGGGCGATCGAGGCGCACAGCCGGGGGCAGTGAGAAGCCGCGCTGCAGCTACTGTCAAAAGCTCGACCACCTACGTGAGAGCTGCTACGCCTTTCATGGTTTTCCTCCCCGCGACGATCGTGAGTCTTGTGATGGTCGTGACGGGCGTGAGTCGCACGAAAGAGCTGGCGATTCGCAGTGGCAGAACAAACCTCGTCCTGCTGGGGAGAGGGCCCCCGTGATCGTGACCGACCTCCTCGTGATGCACAGGTAGAGCACGACAAGGATGATGCCAGCCCGGTTGCTGGCTTCACGTTGGCCCAGCTTGAGCAACTCAAGCTCTTCTTTGGCACCAACACTAAGGGCGCTGATGATCCTAGTTCACACCTCGCAGGTACGTTTTCTTCCGGAACTGAATGGTTGCTTGATTCCGGTGTAACGAACATATTATTATGGATGATGCTACTCTAACAAGCAAGATGTGTCATGAACATGGTCCGCCGGTACGGATTCCTAATGGCGCTAGTATACCGGTGGCTTATGTGGGGAGTGTAGAGTTACAACCGGGTTTAGTGCTTAATCGCGTCCTTCATGTCCCGGAATTTAAATGCAATCTGATTTCGGTAAGCCGTTTTGCCCATGAAAATCATGTTGCTTTAATCTCGACGATTTTTGCGTCATTCAGGACTTACTCTCCAAGAAGCTGATTGGGAATGGTGAGTTGCGTGATGGTTTATACTATTTGCGTCTGTTTGGAGTTGGACAAGCTCAGGCTTGTGCGGCACGGAAGCAGAGCAGGGTTTCTGACGAAGTATGGCATGCTCGACTGGGGCATCCATCCCTGGCGAAAATGCAGTAATTGCGGGATTTTCTTAATCTTTCCTCATTATCTGATAAACATTGTGATTCATGTTTTAGAGCTAAACAGTCTGGATAGCCATTTCCTTCTAGCACTATTCGTACTTAGCAGTGTTTTGATTTGATTCAGGTTGACATATGGGGTGGTTACAAAACAGCTTCCCTTAGTGGAGCTCATTATTTTCTTACTATTGTTGACGATTATAGTCGTGGTGTTTGGGTTTACCTGCTTTGTTTTAAGTCCGAAGCAAGTCGTTACTTGCTTTTGTTTGGCCAGATGATTCGGCGGCAGTATGGTCGGCGGCTCAAACGTATCCAAGCTCACAACGGGCCTGAGTTTAATACCCTCGCACTCCAGGCCTACTATGAGAGTGAAGGTATTGTGCTACAAACTTCATGCACGGACACCCCCAGCAGAACGGTTTAGTCGAGCGGAAACATCGCCATATTCTGGACACTGCTCGAGCGCTTCGTTTCCAGGGTGGCCTCCCTGTTCGTTTCTGGGGAGAGTGCATTCTCACAACTGTCTACTTAATCAACCGACTCCCGACCACCGCAACTGGCCGTACTCCGTTCGAGAAATTATTTGGGAAACCAGCCCCATACACACATTTCCGCGTTTTTGGATGCTTGGCCTATGCCAAAGATACTCATGCTTAATTGGAAAAGTTAGGGGAACGTGGTCGTGCTTGCGTTTTTCTTGGGTATGCCTCAACGCAGAAGGGCTACCAGTTTTATGATCTCACTGCTCAGAAGTTACTCACATCTCGTGATTTTCAGTTTATTGAGGATGAGTTTCCTTTCCACACTACTACTTCTCGGCATCTTCACTAGGTCCCTCGACCCGTTTTCCTTGAACCTGGACATGATTCTGATAGGGAAATGCTTGTTGCCCTAGGCCCTCTAACATCAGCCCGCCGGCGTACCCTGATGGGCCAGTCAGCCCAACACATTTCGGCTCTCCCAGCACCGAGTCTTCGGCTGCCAGCGATGGGCCTTCGGCCCCTCCTCTGTCCGAGTCCGCCATTTCAGCACCTGATGGGTCGCCCTCTGACCCAAATGAGCCGCAGCCTCTTCGTCGCAGCGACCGGACCCGCTCTCGACCCAAGAACTTGGATCTCTATGATACCCAATTTGCTCTACTGACTGATCAGCCCACACAGGGAAGTACCTCGGCCCAAATTACATATCCTCTCTCTGATTTTATTACTTATGACAAGTTTCGGCCCTCTTATCAATCTTTTCTTGCTGCAGTGACCACTCACGATGAACCTCGCTCCTTCAAGGAGGCTTGGGCTGATCCCCGATGGCGTGCGGCCATGATTGCCGAAATCCAGGCTCTCCAGCGCAACGGTACTTGGAGTCTTGTCACCCTTCCCCCTGGGAAACGTACTATTGCGGACAAGTGGGTTTTAAAAATAAAATATTGTTCGGATGGCACTATTGAGCGCTACAAGGCGCGTCTGGTTGCAAAGGGATATACTCAGATCGAAGGTATTGACTTTCATGACACTTTCGCGCCCGTTGCCAAGCTTGCCACTGTTCGTTGTCTCCTTGTTGTTGCCATTAGCAAGGTTGGTACCTTCATCAACTCGACGTCAACCACGCTTTTCTCCATGGTGACCTTGAGGAATAAGTCTACATGAAGTTGTCTCCTGGTTTTGCAGCACCTGGCGACGCGCGTGTTTGTCGTTTTTCACAAGACTCTTTATGGTCTCCGACAAGCGTCTCGCAACTGGTATCACAAATTCACCACTGCTCTCTATGCTCTCGGTTTCCGATCCTCTCCTGCCGATCACTCTCTGTTTATTTTTGGCGGGGGAGCACCTTTGTTGTGGCTCTCATTTACGTGGACGATGTCATCCTCACTGGTAATGACTTGGCTTTCATCACTAAAGTCAACCAGTCGCTGGATGATCAATTTAGCATTACGGATTTGGGTGATCTTCGCTACTTCCTGGGTATGGAGTTAGCTCGCACTCGTAACGGTGTGGTCCTCTATCAGCGCATGTACACCCTGGATATTCTTGAGGATGCGGGTGTCGAGGGTGCTCGCCCAAGTGCGTTCCCTATTGAGCAAAACCATCATTTGACCCGACCTGTTAGTGATGCCGAGTTGCTCCTTGATCCGTCTTCGTATCGGCATCTTATTGGTCGCCTGCTCTATTTGACCGTCACTCGGCCCGACATCGCTTATGGGGTCAACCTTCTCATCAGTTTGTTAACGCTCATAGTCAATCTCATACGGACGTTGTTGTTCGTATTTTGCGGTATCTCAAGTCGTCTCCTGATCAAGATATTTTCTTCCCGCGTACCAGTGATCTTGCTCTTACCGCTTATTGTGACGTTGATTGGGGTGGTTGTGAAAGCACCCGCCACTCTACGACAGGTTATTTCATCACTTTAGGAGGCGCTCCCATTTCCTGGCGCGCCAAGAAACAACATGTTGTGGCTCGTTCCTCTGCTGAGGCTGAATACCATGTCATGGCCAGCACGATGAGTGAGGTACTTTGGCTCCGATGGCTTCTTGATGAACTTGGTGTTCCTCAACCACGCCCCACTCCATTGTATTGTGATAACCAAGCCGCTCTTCACATTGCGGCTAATCCCGTTTTTCACGAACGCACTAAGCATGTGGAGATGGATTGTCATTTCGTTCGTGAACGTGTCCAGTCTGGTGCTATCCTACCTCTCAAGGTTTGTTCCGAATTGCAGCTAGCGGACATTCTCACCAAGGGCTTGGGCGCCGACCGGTTCCATTTCTTACTCTCCAAACTGAACGTTCGTAACCTTCACGCTCCACCTTGCGGGGGAGTATTGGGTCGTACCAGTCCACTTCACGAGGAGCCCACTGCTCGGCCTAAGTCAAGCGCTGCAGCCCACACACCATTCTCCTCTTACTGCATGTCTTACGTAGTAGTGAAGGATAATGATCCTCGTGTAACCCTAGGTTCTTTGGAGAAGGGTATATATGAGTTGTAAGCGGCTGTTGTCGTGTGTGGAACTAAGCAATAACAATAGTAGCTTGGGTGATTCCAACTCTCCCGTGAATTAGTCCCGACTCGTCGGGGATACCACGTTAAATCGTTGTCTTGTTCTATTCTTTATGTTCCTCATTTGTTATATTTCTCAGTATTTTGTTGGCTTCTTTGATTCAATGCGTTCTTCCATCTGTGCAGCTAGTATTTTTCATTTTTTTGAGCTACGGATCCCTTCAATTATTGTCTTCAACAGCTCAGGTTTAGTTTCTCATATTTGTTTGCTTTTAGGGTTGTGTGAGTGGTTGTTGGATGGATTCAAGCAATATAGAAAATTTACAGCTAAGTTCGACGACAAGAACTTCCCCTGTGGGAATTTCAGTTTCGTAATTTATTGAAAGGAAACGCTTTTACATCTTTTTGACATATCCTTTAGCACTTTTGTCTTTCAACAAGCATAGCATATTCTCTTTTCGATTTGCATGATTTTCTAAACCATTTTTTTTTCTTTTGCTCATGTATCTGGTGCTTTACTAGAGCATTAGATCTTTATTAGTTGAGCAAGCGTAATTTTGTATCTCTGAATTCGTCAAAGTACTGGTCAATGGAATCAAGGGATGTCAGAAGATTTACTTGTACTACTAGAGAAGAACCAGCATCTAACGGGACAAAAAAAAAACTTAACTGGTAGCTCTTCCAAAATCCTTGTTGTGCAATGAATAGATGCCTCAAGTGTTGGGCTTACCCCACACTTTCTTTCATAGCATGGAAACCACAAATGATACTTTTATGTCTAGATTTGGCAGGTTTTGCATTTGATAGAAGGTGTAGTTCACTTAGTGGGAAAAACTTTTGAAAAAGTGGAGACTCAATGGATAATCAAAAATTTATAACGAATCAAATATCATGACATTTAAAACATACTAAACAAATCATAGTATGTCATTAACAATCATATCCTTCATAGGCACTACACTATCCTCCCTAGATCAAGTGAAATTCGTAAATTCATTTATTCAAAGTAAGATGAGTATTGAACATGTTTGTAGTGAATGACTAAACAAGTCGATAGATGGATAAAAATTCTTCAGCATTTTGAAAATTTTCATATTAATCATAACAATTATATATTGAATAAAACTTAAAAAAAACAAATGACTAAACATATAGCATGTAATAAACACATGAAATAAAACATTGCAACCTCATTTTCAGCCCACTTTAGACAAGACACTGCTCTCAATGAACTAAAAAAATAGGTGAACAATGAAAAGGGACTTGAGAGTCGAGATAGGACCCATCGTGTTCTCCCTCGACTTCGTCGTACTAGAGATGCAAACTGATAGAGATTACTCTATTATCTTTGGGAGACCTTTCTTTGCCACTTCTCGGGCATTAATAGATATTCCTAAACATCAACTTACCATGAGAAATCAATAATGTGGTGCATATCATACACATGACTTTCCCGGAAGCCAAGAAAGAAATATTTGATTCCCACTCGAGTCCCACCATGGTAGGCTGGAGTTGTGGCTCCTCGAAAACCCTTATGTCGGCTATGAGAAAGGATTTAGTTTGACGTTCAAATTGATATTGAAAAGGAGTTAGAATTCTATTCTCGTAAATTCAACGAGGGAAACTCGCTATCGCCTAACATCAAAAGAGATTCCAAGGAGTTGGTGTGTACCTTGCATGTTAAAGTGTATGAACCACCAATGGTTCATGACACTAACTATGGTGCCTCCCTAGAATTACCTCCCGATAATTAGGGAGAAGATTGTCCAATCGAGCCTCATTGGTCTTAAAACTAGAAAGTCCATGCCTCGTCTAGCTCAAAGGCATTAAAGAAAGGACGAGGCATGGGAGGAAATCCATGGATTGTCTAACTTAAAGACAATAAATAAAATACTACCGAGAGATAGCTCATATTTGTTAGGCGTAGCTTTGGGTACCCGTTATCGTGGTACCTGACCGCTCTCAACCCAGTCAACGCGAGGAATCCCCGCATTGACCGGGTATTGGACAGGTATAGGTAAAACTCACTAAACATTTAATGGATATGGGGCGAGTATGGTTTTAGCTAAATGTTAACTTCTCGTTGCAATTTTGTTATTAATATTGATTTAGCAACATGATATTGACATGAAAGAGACACGTGGAGGTAAATATTCTAAAATTTTAGTATTTAACAAAGAAACAAGTTACAAAATTATTAAAGATAATAATTTTACTTTCTATCGTAAGTGGGCTATCAATTCACAACACATATATTAGTTATTTGGTTTTTATGGGCTAACTACAAGTGGTCAATACATTGAGCCCATGACTACTTAAAGCCAATATGAGTCCAATGATTGGAAACCCACATACATATCCATCTTGGGTTTTATGGGAGCTCATGGGAAAACTTGTATATAAAGGTGCTAAAGGTTGTGACCCCCAACACACCAAGACCAAAACACTCTCTTTTTCTCCCATCAAGAAGATCAGAGGTTTCTCGTGAGTGCAACTAAGGCGGCTTTGTTGAGGAAGGTCATAAAACCTCCTGATCGTGCTTTATGAGTATCATCCAGTACTAGATCGATGTTCATATTCCGCATCAAGACCTTGGCAATCAATCTACTTGAATCCAGGTATTCCAATAACCTTTGATAATCTGACAAGATGTATTTCGAGGAATTGCATATGTTATGCTTAATTCTCTCAATAATCGAAGAAAATTATTATTGGTGGGAGATGCACGAAGATTACTTTGCTCGGATGGAATCTAAACCAGCGCTAGAAAATCTCTGTTTATCGTTGTCCCATGCCCAATATAAGGGCTTTCTTCCAAGCTTGTTAACCCTTGGGTCAACCCTAAAGTTAAATGATGCTCTAAAACACAACACCTAACAATGGCCAAGTGTAACCAATGAAAGGGACTGCAGTATAGTGGCACAAGTAATAAATATCGAATCCACGGGTCTCTAGAGTTACTATTACTCAGCTTCAGTTCATTATCTAGCAAACTAGATTAAGGATTGATTAACTAAACTAAGTAAAACTACTA